GCCGGCGCCTACACGAACGGAGCGAATTCCTCCAACAGGTCGCAACCAAAGAGCAGACGAAAATATCTCCAGACTCGTACAATAACTTCTGATATGGGCCAGCAAGAAGTAACATTAACCGCTACATCCCTAGCTGTGGCCCTAGGTGTGACCTTGACCCTAGGATTTGTGTGTGGATACCAGTTCAAGGCGTGGAGGATCGAGTGGCTGAAGAGAAGGAGAGAGAGACTGCAGAGGAAGATCCAGCAGACGCAGGCGGAGATTGACATGCTGCAGAAGGGGCACTAAGGTCTTGATTTCATGTTTTTGGGTTGTTTGGACATCAAGGAATAATTTTATGTTTCCACGCTGCTCGAAGATTCATTGGGTAGTTCTTTTCAAAGTACGTCTGTGGTGTTTAGTTGTGGAAATCGTGATTCATTCAGTTTTATTTGGAATTATAACCCAGGAGGCTTCTTACGAAAGAAATACTCATTCTAAATAAATCTTGGTAAAAAATTCAGAATAACTTCTCATGACCTATCAAGACGATATTGGTATCGAAGTATTCCTCTCACTCTTTATTACTCATTAGAAATTTTGTCACAGAACCCCCGCCTCCCAGTTCCCACAGTCTTGGCCCAGATAGTAGGGAAAACATGAATGGTACCATAGAATTGCAGAGCAAATTAAAAATGATATGCAGAGAACTGGTCAGTATACAGTTAGATAAAGGGGTTTGCGTCCCTTGCGATGCCTTTCAACTTCCGCCAATGACAACAAAGAATCAACCGCTTATGTACAGCAGGACAGAGCATAGGACAGTCTCAGCATAAGGCTCTCCTGCTCATAGTTCATACGCTCTATCCTTCTATGACTTTGTGGAGGATTCTTTGTCTTCCATTGTGGGGGTTGGGAAACAACAGCCTCCTACATTGGACACTATAGTACCTTTTCCTGCAATTATTATTATAATAGTTATGCATATCTTGTATATTATTTGTATTTTACCCTGCAATTTCCATGGTACCTTTCATGCCCTTCCTTGCTATCAGGGTCAAGAATGTTGATGTTTAGGGGGTACCAAGGCACATATGGGTAGTAGAGGGTGAGAGGAATCCATCAGTACCACTATCATTGTGGGTTTTATACTCAAAACAGTTGTCGGTGCATTGCATTTTAAGAGTAATAAGGTTACCATTTATGATACCTGTGTAAAAAATGTAAGTATAGGTTACTTATAGCGACGTGGATGAGAGGAAATGGATACCGCCATCTTAAAGGGCATAAGAAATAGAGTCAGAAACAACAGTTTAAGCTGCAGCGGCCTAATATTCACCACTGAATAATGAAAATATTCCCTGCATTTCAATGCTCGGAATCTAAGTCGCTCATCTTGTTCACCTTGCCAAGAAAAGCAAAACACTGACTGCATAATTCATTAATGCAATATTCCAAGTAGTTCCTCTGTTACTACAGTCTTGTCAGAATTATATTTTGCTAATTATCAGTGTCTGCTGATGCACATTTATGCTTTTAAAGTATTTTATTAATGTTGTTATACTTCAATTACGTGTTTTAAGATTTATCTATACAGTTCTTTAGAATGATCTGCACATCATACATTTCAGACTTTCAGTTGCCACCTGCGAGGTTTAACAGCTCACCGGCCATTTCGTGACAGAAGACCTGTGAGAAATATTGTGTTGATTCTGGGTTATTTTTAAGACTATACAGTGGCAACAAAGAAAAAATTGACTTTTGTAACATCTTAGTTTGATATCTGAGCTCATCAAGAGCACCAAGTGCCAAAAAAAAAGGGATTAAAAATGAAGCAATCCAGACCGTAGAATGAAGCAAATGAATATTTATCGTTTCCAGATATTAAGGTATTTTGTTTATTATTTGATGGTGTAAATGCAGCTCTGTCTTGCTGCACATACCAAAGTGAAGATAATGTTTCCCAGGGGGCTGCCCCCCATCAATCCTTTCTTCAGGCATTGCCCAAAGGGAACACCTAGTCACGGCAACTAAAATTGTTAGATTGTGTTTGTTTATTGGTCAGTATGTTTTTTAGGGTTGGAACATGTGAACTCCTGTAGATTTTACTGAATTGTGGTTTTGATTCTTGTAGATTTTTTTTTTATATTGGCACATTTGTCTATGGAATTTATAAAATGGTGGATGCATCTGTAGAGTTTCATAAGCTGATATAAGTGTTTTTTGTGCTGCTTTTACATAATTATTTCTCAGTACTTCATGTTTAAGCCTGTTCTACCCCATAATTTCCCTGATATACTTCATGCCCTCCCCTGCTATAAGGACTATCACTTAAATGGTACTTGATCTCCTCAACGATTTATTCGCAGAAAAAACAATGCCAAGAATCAAAGAAATCATTGGATTTCCGTCAGAAAAACTTTTTTTTTTTCTCTGGGACAATAACCAAAGTGTAACTGAATTACTTATATAATATATTACTCCTTCGGAAAGGATCAAGTTTCAGGTGGTTACTTTTGGGGCACTGTAGTGAATGAGTTCTTGTGTTGATATGATATTCACTGCATGTTTTTTGTAGCGGAAATGATATGTAATGGTCAGAATTACCAAACCCAGTCAACTTGGTAAAGCAATTCCCCAGCAGTTTCTTTACTCATATATTCTCCAATACAGCCATGTTAGCAGATTGCGATATATTATCCTAAAACTAGCCATAGGTAAATTAATAGGTGTAGAATATATTTCCATTGAATACAGAAAGAAACTAAGTTTCTATGCTAATGTAGTAATTCACACACTCATAAAGAAAAATTCTAGGATTATTTGTTTATTAGTAAAGGAATAGATACTTTGAAATTCAGTAATAAGTTATTTCATCAATTATTAGTAAAGGCAAAATGAAAATAATCTGTTGACAGATCATTGTTGCATTTAAGGAAAACAAATTAAAGGAAATTTGAATCTGAAAGGCCTCCTTGCATATTTTGTAATATGTCTTTTCAGAGAAAGTTTTCCACTGTTATGCTTGAAAGCACTGGAATGTTAAGCAGTAAAAAGACTGATTTAGATACAGCATAAGTTGAGCATGAAACTTCCACTTTGCCTGATGATTAATGGATGTTCTGCATTCAAACTTTGTGATGCATCTCCTGATCTTTACTAGGGTTATATATCTCTTACAAGAGCCATATTTATCCTAGACTCAAAGGAGAAACTGTATATGTGTATTGTGAAGCCAAAGGTGACCAATTCATAAATAATAAGTAATGAGTAATGACTAAAAATTGCAAAAAAAAAAAAGAAAGAAAGGAAAAAGCACCATTGCCAAATTCGTTACTCTTAGAAAAATATATAACGTTTCTATTACCATTGTAAAAAAACAACAACGTTGTTACGAAACAGTTACTAAGAAGAGCATTATCCCTGCCACTATAAACCTTATCATAACCTAACCTACCTGACCTGATCCATCCCTTTAACACACACACACACACACACACACACACACACACACACACACACACACACACACACACACACACACACACACACACACACACACACACACACACACACACACACACACACACACACACACTCACTCTCTCTCTCTCTCTCTCTCTCACACATATTTATGTATGTATGTATGTATAGGTATATATATGTTTATAGCCAGGGCGGCTTTACCAATGTACTGGTATATTGTAAACATTCCCCTCCACATCCCTAGTAAAAAAACGTAATTTTTTAGAACAGAACTATAAAAAAATTGAAAAAAAAAAACTATTGCATGTATCAGAAATAACGTATAAATTCAAGCAAGAGTAAAAATAAGCCACTAATATCTTAAAATGTTGTGAGGACCTATATGGGATTTGCAAAAGTAGATTTACAACCTAGTTATTAATATGTGTGATTTGGCAGGACATGAAGAGATCATAATTTTAATTACTCACTGAGAACAATACAAACAAAAACTCTATACAACGTACATAAATACATGTGTTTGAATATTTTGAGGTATGTTTTTACTGATTTATCTCTCTTTTTTTTTTACAGGGGTCCTGCCTCATACTGTCTGATGCCATCCATCATGTAAATAGCTTTGTTGATTCTGTATCAGGAAGTAGGAAGAAATTGACTTAGAAATTAATTTAACAAAACTGAATAACTGTGCCGCATTTCTAACCCGACTCAGGGCTTTGGTGAAGAATATTTTATAGGTGAAAGCATATCCATTTAAATAGTATTTTGGGAATACATAATAAAATACCGCACAAAAAAAAGAATGATCATTGGTAGTCAGTGGGAAGAGGATTTGCAGTCCGGATACTCAAGAGGTTGTGCAATATTATGAGAGCTGGAGCACTGGCCTTTCAATACTGGAACTGTGAGGTAAGGGTACAAGACATATCTTAAGGAGTGTGATATACATGTCATGTAAATATGATATAAGTTCTGGATGATTTATATGGAAAATATGTGCAATTGTGTACTATCACTTGTTATTCTGTTATATTTTTATTATTGACTAAAGCAACCCTTTCCTTAGGTGCAGCTCTCTCTCTCTCTCTCTCTCTCTCTCTCTCTCTCTCTCTCTCTCTCTCTCTCTCTCTCTCTCTCTCTCTCTCTCTCTCTCTCTCTCTCTCTCTCTCTCTCTTCCTCTCTCTCTCTCTCTCTCTCTCCCTCTCTCTCCTCTCTCTCCTCTCTCTCTCTCCCTCTCTCCTCTCTCTCTCTCTCTCTCTCTCTCTCTTCTCTCTCTCTCTCTCTCTCTCTCTCTCTCTCTCTCTCTCTCTCTCTCTCCTCTCTCTCTCTCCTCTCTCTCTCTCTCTCTCTCTCTCTCTCTCTCTCTCTCTCTCTCTCTCCTCTCTCCTCTCTCCTCTCTCTCTCCCTCTCTCTCTCTCGTCTTCTCTCGCGTCTTCTCTCTCGTCTCTTTTTTCTCTTGTTCTCTCTCTCTCTCTCTCTCTCTTGTTTCTTCTTATGTCTCTCTCTCTCTCTCTCTCTCTCTCTCTCTCTCTCTC